TTCCTGTCATTAATATGGGAGCATAGGTATAGATCATAACTCACATTATTGCATGCATGGAAGCTACCTAGGTGCATATTATAGATCGGACATATGCTGGACAGTGTAGTATCTCTATGCTTGATATGAAGAAATGGGACTTTGAGGATTGTTGTTCATTGTAATATTTACAAGTATTCAGCTGGATTTCTGTCATCTGTAACAAATGTCTTTATCCAAATAAATGCATCTCTCTGGAAAAGAACTGTTAGTTGCTGCGGGAAAAGTACATTTATAAATACACCCTGGTCATCCGGAGAAGGGCTGGATCTCCATGTTTGATATGAACTATCTTGAACTGATCTAAACCCATATCTGGTAAAAACTGTTGTGATAATAATATATGATAAAACAACACATTGCCAAAAGTATTGGGACACCTGCCTTTACAATCGCATGAACTTTAATGGCATCCCAGTCCTAATCCGTAGGGCTCAATATGGAGTTGGCCCACCCTTTGCAGCTATAGCAGTTTCAACTCTTCTGGGAAGACTGTCCACAAGGTTTAAGGGTGTGTCTATGGAAATTTTTGGCCATTTTTCCAGAAGCGCATTTGTGAGGTCAGGCACTGATGTTGGACGAGAAGGCCTGGCTTGCAGTCTTTGCCCTTATTCATCCCAAAGGTGTTTTATTGGGCTGAGGTGCAGGCCAGTCAAGTTCCTCAACCCCACACTCTCTCATACATGTCTTTATGGACCTTGCTTTGTGCGCTGGTGCGTAGTCATCTTGACACAAGAAGGGGCCATTCCCAAACTGTTCCCCACAAAAAGCTGGGAGCATGAAATTGTCCAAAATGTCTTGGTATGCTAACGTGTTAAGAGTTTCCTTCACTGGAACTAAGGGGCCAAGCCCAACCCTTGAGAAACAACCCCACACCATTATCCCCCTCGGCCAAACTTTACACTTGGCACAATGCAGTCAGGCATGTACCGTTCTACTGGCAACACCGGACACGTCCATCAGATTGCCAGATAGAGAAGCGTGATTCGTCACTCCAAAGAACACACCTCCACTGCTCTAGAATCCAGTGTTGGCATGCTTTACACTTGGTGATGTAAGGCTTGGATGCAGTTGCTCGGCAATGGAAACCCATTCCAAGAAGCTCTCTATGCACTGTGCTAATCTGAAGGCCACACGAAGTTTGGAGGTCTTTAGCTGTTGACTCTGCAGACAGTTGGCGACTTCTGCGCACTGTGCGCTTCAGCATGCTCTGATCCCGCTCTGTCATTTTACATGGCCTGCCACTTTGTGGCCGAATTGCTGTTATTCCCAGCTGCTTCCACTTTGTTATAATACCACTAACAGTTGACCGTGGAATATTTATTAGCAAGAAAATTTCACAGATGGACTTATTGCACAGGTGGCAACCTATCATGGTGCCATGCGTGAATTCACGGAGTTCCTGAGAGTGACCCATTCTTTCACAAATATTTGTAGAACCAATCTGCATGCCTAGGTGCTTGATTTTATACAGCTGTGGCCCTGGAGGTGATTGGAACACCTGAAGGGGTGTTCCAATACTTTTGGCAATATAGTATACCTTTGGGGAATATAAAAATTTGTGTTTAGAAGCTGATCTATGAATCATTTTCTTACCTTGGTAATGGATAACATTCACCAAAATCAGTTGCACGTCTGGCGGAAGCTCCTGCAGTAATGTTGGGATGAGCCCTTTTGTTCTTCGCGATACCCAAGAATTTATCTTTTCCAGGCTTTTTTTTTTATCTTTGGGTAATGGTATGCTTTTTGACCCATAAAATTTTGAAGACTGATCTATGAACTCCTCATTTATATGTAATTCTATGGAGAAACGCAAGGTTAAAGAGGATTAGCAAAAAGTACTGTGGAAAATACACGTACTGTATCCCTTTGAACAAAGCTTACTGGCCAGTGCAGCCAATGCTATCATAATTATTTATAAATGTGTCTCACATATAGCAAAAGGCAGTATTCCTTAAAGCAGTAGTAAACAAAACAAAAAAAAAAAAAGGTAATATCATAATGTGCAAGTATGTGTAGCACCACCCTCATATATTTTTGCCCAGGTTATCCCTTATTTCACTCCGCAGCCAGGCACAGTGTTTTTCTTCAACCAAATACACACACACACACACTCCTCTCATTGTCTTCAATAATAGGGGATGTTTATTTTTGGAGTTTTATTGTAGAACTGGGGATAGGAATAATGGATGTAGTAGCGTACTCCAAAATTAGAACTATTCACACTGAGGATATCTAGCTGATCTCTTAGTTGAGCACTACTGAAATCCTAGCTGAAAGCAGATAGCAGACTTATCTTAGAATTGTAGCAGTAAGTAGTTTAGAAATGAGCAAAGTCCCATTGTGCAGTAGTAGTAGTTACAGGGCTGAGCTCCTCAGGTACAAGCCAGTTACGTCAGACTGCGACAGCCCAAAGTGAACGTAGCGGAGTAAACTCCTATGCAATAGCAACAGTTGGACAAGCTCTTCAGAACACTAGCAGTGTTCCCTTTTTCTCTGACCCACGCTATTAAGCACCAGATGGGGAAGCAATGTCTGTACTCACAGGGCCAAATGACAGAATGGTTGACTCCTTCCAATCTTCCAAGCAAAACTCTACAGTGATACCAGAAAGCTTTGGAAGACAGCTCCCCTCAGTCAGTGTACTGTAGAACCAGGGTCATGCTCTCAAACTTCGAACCACCCAAGGCTGCATGGCAGCAAGTGCCAGGCAAGGCAAGCCGGCTTGGTTTAATTCTCTCCTGGAAAAGATGCTGAACCCATGTGCTCACAGAACATAAATACCACTCCCAGCATTCAATGGGGCTTCCTCCCCTGCAATTTGCCAGGGCTATATCCACATTCATGCTGTTCATTTGCGTAGCCCCTATCCATGTTCTGGAAGGCTCTCATAGCTTCCTGAAGGTGGGCAGAACCCAGACAAAAACTCAAGCAGCACCAGAGCATCGAGCAGACCTAACTAATCAATCACAGCACACTTAAAGAGACAGCCTAAATATATTTTCCTAACAAATCTATGCTTTACATAACTATACCAATCCTGGCACCTAACTAGGAGGGTGCTACACATGTATTACATACTAGCACATTAATAAAGATTTACCTTGAAACAAAGCCCTCCAGCAGCCAGCTGTCACTGTTGACAGGGCTTCCATCTTCGCCTGATCTTCCTTCTGGGTTCACGGACTGCAGCAGTTCGAATAGCTGAGCAATGGGAGTCTTGGCTGCGGCACACAGCTCTGAAGGAATGGCACGGGTATGCCGTTCCTTCAGAGTGCATGCGCTGGTTACGTCACCGGCTGCTGCTCACTACAATATCTCCTAAACGGTGAACGTTTAGGAGATATTCACTTTGTTATAAGCTTAGCTGTAGGTAAAAATCTAAATCGTAACTTTATTACCACTTTAAGCACAAAAAGGAAAAAAAATATCCAATTAGCAGCAGCTGAGACTGAAAGAGATACAGTAAATCCTCCAACTATTCACACATGATGTGGCTGTATAATATAGTCAGACAGTCAGTGCTTGCTGTAAAAGTATTACAAAATATCACAGTATGCAATCTGTACAACAATGTATCCAATCCTCACAGTCAGTATGTCACGATCCTATCGTGATTCATAAACCAGTTTTAAGAGACTGTAACACACATGTAACAATCATTCACAATAGAAATTGCATGTAAATCGCATAGGAATGTGTGGACAAAAAAACATGCTGTTATTCAAATTATATATATTAACAGCTTCCCTTCTGCCCTATAGCAGAAGTACTGCTACAGGGTGGCACAGGTGCGCAAAATCACGTATACTGTATATACGTGATTTCGCAGTTTCGGGTAGGGGACGTGCGTGCGCCCTACCCACATCGCCATTCATGGCCTAGGCTGTCAATCGCTGGCACCTGGTGCTTGCCGAGCATCTGATAGGGGGGCGTTTATAAACAATACAGTTCTCTCTGCTGTCAGCGCCCACACACGGCTTACAGTGTGCTTACAGTGAAGCAGGCACACAGCACACTATGTAAAATGGCACACAGTTAACTCTTTGATCGCCTCACATGTTAACCCCTTCCTGCCCAGTGCCATTAGTACAGTGTCAGTGCTTTTTATTAGCACTGATCACTGTATTGGTGTCACTGGGGATGTCAGTGACACCAAGTCAGTTCCATCCTGTGTCAGAAAGCCTACTGCAGTCCCGCTACAAGTCGCTGATCGCCGCCATTACTAGTAAAGAATAAAGTCCCAGTATATATACACACCGCCATTTGTAAACGCTATAACTTTTATGTAAACCAATTAATTTACATGTATTGGGATTTTATTTAGCAAAGATATGTAGCGGAATACATTTTGTCCTAAATTTCTGATAAAATTAGCTTTTTTTTACATTTTTTACTGGACATGTTTAACCACTAGCCTACAGGGCACTTATACCCCCTTCCTGCCCAGGCCAATTTCCAGCTTTCAGCGCTGTCACATTTTGAATGACAGTTGCGCAATCATGCAACACTGTACCCATATGAACTTTTTATCATTTTTTTGAGACAGATAGAGCTTTCTTTTGGTGGTATTTAATCACCTCTGGGATTTTTATTTTTTTCTTAAACAAACCAAAAACCACTGAAAATTTTGAAAAAAAATGTTTTTTCTTAGTTTTTGTTATACAATTTTGTAAATAAGTGATTTTTCTCCTTTACTGATGTGTGCTAATGAGGCTGCAGTGATGGGTACTGATAAACTGCAGTGATGGACACTGATAGGTGGCACTGATGAGGAGGCACTGGTAGGTTGCACTGATGGGCATTGACAGGCATCACTGATGGGCACTGAAAGGCAGCACGGATACATGACACTGATACATGACACTGTATATGGCACTGATAGGTGGCACTGATAGGCGGCACTGACTGGCACTGATAGGCGGCACTGACTGGCACTGATAGGCGGCACTGATAGGTGGCACTGATTGGCATTGATAGGTGGCACTGATGGGTAACATTGAAAGGCAGCTCAGATGGGCACTGATATGTGGCATTGATGTGCACTGGTATGCACTGATATGTGGCATTGATGTGCACTAGTATGCACTGATATGTGGCATTGATGTGCACTGATATGTGGCATCGATGTGGCACCAATGGGCACTGGCACGTGGCACTGATAGGCACTGACAGGTGGCACTTCTTGGGCCACACTGATCATCAGGGCACACTGATCATCAGTGCCCTGATGATCAGTGTACATGTCCCCTCCGCGGGAAGCCGATTACCGGCTCTCCTCCACTCTCGAGCTGTCACGCTGGAGAGAAATGCCGATAACTGGCATTTCCATGTTTACATGTGATCAGCTGTGATTGGACACAGCTGATCACATGACCGAGCCGACATCTTCGGCTCTTTCCGTGATCCGCTGTGTCCGAGGGACACAGCGCACCGGCGATCGCCGCTCTGCGTGCTCCCTGAGCTGTGCATGCGCAGTGAGAATGGTAGGACGTCATATGACATCCTATCAGAACGAGAGATATGAACAGGAGCCAGGCGCTGTGTAGTTTTGTGATAGAAATAATACACCTTGTATGGAGGTGTGTCTTTAATAAGTCATATGGTAAAACAATAATAAATAACCAGCCTGTGGCTTTAGGAAGCCAGGTTCCAAGATGGACGGCCCGTCCACTCAGAGGGAAGCAGTGGAGTAGAATGCCTGTCAGTGCAGGGACCACGTTTACCCGACGTCCCAGCGTCCTGGATGACGTCACCACGATGTGGAGAGACAGAGGGGGGGAGAACTCTTGCTGGAGCCGCAGCTTTAGAAGGAAGAGGCCGTTGCTGGGGACAACATGTTTCGCGCGCATGCGCTTTGTCAAGTCCTAACCGATGTGTTTTTACCATGGCAGCAGTGAGTTTTTTCCCCCACCAATCATAGTTGACATACCATTCACTTATTTCCTTTGGGACACATCTGTGCGCTTTTATCCAGACCGTTCTATCAGAACGAGAGAACCACCTTGCACCCGTCATTGTACTATAGGGCGGGCGGGAAGGTGGTTAATAGGAAAGTCAAAAATAAATAGTTGTTTTTATTCAAAATTATCTTTTTTTCTATAGCGCGAAAAAAAAACCCACACAGAAAAATGACCACCGAAAAAAAGCTCTATTTGTGGGAAAAAAGGACGTACATTTCATTTGGGTGCAATTGTCAGAAAATGCATAAAATGGCCTGATCAGGAGGGGGAGGGGGGGGGGGATGAATCCTCTGGAGGGCAAGTGGTTAAAACTGGAAGGACTCAACAGTCTACACATGTTTAACTCTTATTAGGGTACTTACAATTTGTGTAGAAAGAGAAAAGAGGAGGAAAAAGAGGAAAAAAAGGAGAGAAAGAGGGTAATATCCAGTGGAATGAATACAGTGGAGAAGGAATAGAGTCCCTGTCAGCTTTTTTTCTAAGAAAAGAGTTTAAAACGTAGATACTGTATATGCCGACAATGCAGTGCCTGCAGCATATGTATTAATGCAAAAGAAAAAAAGTGACTGGAATATCAGTCAAAGCTGCTGTCACAGAACACATGTAGTATATCCAGCTCCAGTATTATATATTATATACAGCTCCAGCAGTATATTAAAAACAACTAAGTTTAGTGAAGTAAATATAAAATAGCTTTATATAATGTCAAATTCTGAATGAAAATTGTACAAAAAAAAAAAAAAACACACCACACACACACACACACACACACCTTTCACCAATGAAAAATACAACATGTCATTGGGGAGTTTTCCCTTCACCAAAATAGGAAGTGAGAGGAAATCCCTGCAAATTTAAAGAATCCCTTGGGGAAGATTTCCCATCTATTACTGTTCTGGGTACAACCCAGAATTTGGAATTTTCTTTCATTTTCAATTATAACGGTAAACAGGATAAACAGAGAGGGTTAAACGGACAGCAATAAAAACCTGACAGGGGGTCTAAACCATCTCCACACCAGGGGCGGACTGACAACTCATGGGGCCCCCAGGCAATAGGGGATCATGGGACCCCCGTGTCCTTGCCCACACCCAAAAAAGCCTATTAACAAAAAATAGACCCCGGGCCCTCGGGCAGTGCCCTAGTGCTTAAATGGTCAGTCCGCCCCTGCTCCACACTATCCAAAATTTAACAAAAAGTTTTGCCTTTAGTTATACCTTAACCACTTGCCCTCTTGAGGGATTTAACCCCCTTAATGGCCAGGCCTCTTTTTGCTATTCAGCACTGCACTATTTCAACTGATAATTGTGCGATCATGCAATGCTGCACCCAAACTAAATTTATGTCCTTTTTTCACACAAATAGAGCTTTCTTTCGGTAGTATTTGATCACATGTGCGCTTTTTATTTTTTGTACTTTAAACAAAAAAAGGCCGAAAATTTTGAAGAAAAACAATATTTTTTACTTTCGGCTATAAAAAAATATTTATAGTAAACTCAAAGTTAGTCATGAAATTTAGGCCAAAATGTATTTTGCTACATGTTTTTTGGTAAAAATAAATCTTAATAAGTGTATATTAATTGCTTTCTGTGAAAGTTAAAGCGTCTACAAACTATGGTATAGATACTGCAATTTACGCCATTTTTTGCTATACAGCGCTGCACTAGTTTAACTGACAATTGTGAGGTCACTCAATAAAAAGGTACATAAATGAAATTTACATAATTTTTTTCACACATATAGAGCTTTCTTTTGGTGCTATTTGATTACCTGTGCATTTTTTATTTTTGGTACTAAACAAAAATACCTAAAATTTTGAAAAGAAACTATACCTTCTCATTTCTGTCATAAAAAATATCTAAAAAACTCAAACTTCATCATAAATTTAGGCCAAAATGTATTCTACTATGTTTTTGGTAAAAAAAAAAATTCCAATAAGTGTATATTGATTGCTTTGTGTGAAAGTAATAGCATCTACAAACTATGGTATAGATAATGGAATTTACACCGCTTTTACTTTCTGACTGCCCATCAAATTTCTTGAGGTGCTAAAATACCAGGACAGTACAAACACCCCCCATATGACTCCTTTTTGGAAAGTAGACAACCTAAGATATCTGCTGAGAGGCTATTGAGTCCATGGAAGATTTTTATTTCCACAAGTTTTTGGAAAATGACAAAAACTTTTTTCTTTTTTTTTTTTTTTACATACACAAAGTTGTAATTTAAATTATATATTGCTCACACAAGCCATGAATTTATGTGGAATGACAACCCAAAATACATTCTGCTACTTCTACCAAGTATGGGGGTACCACATGTATGAGACTTTGATAGCCTAGCCACATACAGGAGCCTGAAATCCAATGACCACTTTGAAAGCCCAAAGGTGCGTACCTTCTTCATTTCACTTCCTCATTACCTATCACAGTTTCGGAGGTCCTAAAATGCCAGGATAGCACCAAACCCCCCAAATTACCCCTTTTTGGAAAGTAGACACCCCGAGGTATTTAAAAAGAGGCATTGTGAGTATTTTGCAGATCTAATATTTTCTCACAAGGTTTTGAAATATATAAAAAGAAAAGAAAAAATATGTTTTTGTTTTCTTGTTTCATTTTCCAAAAAACGTGTGGCAACAAACAAGATCTGGAAAATACTATGAATGCTTCTTATCAAATTCCTTGGAGTGTCTACTTTCCAAAAAGAGGTCATTTTGGGGGGTTTGGTGCTATCCTGACATTTCAGGACCTCCAAAACTGTGTAGGTAGTCAGGAAGTGTAATGAGGAAATAAAGCCCTTTAAAAGCCTGAAGGTGCTTATTGGATTTTGGGGTCCTGTACTTTGCTAGACTGCCAAAAAATCTCTCACATGTGGTACCCCCATACTCGGGAGAAATAGCAAAATGTATTTTGGGGAGTAATTCCACAAATACCCATGGCATGTGTAAGCAATAAATCATTTAAGTGACAATACAGCTGCACCCCCAGATGTGTGATGTGTATAACCCATGTGCATTAATACTTTTGTTCTGGTGAGTGTACACCCTTCCCAAGGCTGGATTACCTTTCACGAGTTCATGCACTACTGGTCGTCATGGATAAACCACACATGCCATTCATAGGCACTCTCTGAGTTGGTTCTCTCACATGAAGGACATTCCATTATTCAGGAATGATTATATGAACTTTTTTAGCACCATTTACCAGTTTACATCATTATTCTGGTCAGTCCCGTTCCCTGACCTATAATAACCTTTAGGGCCAGTTCACACTACATGTGTTTCAGTTGCTTTTTTTGCATCCAAAACGCACAGAAAGAAGGTTATATGGTTGTCAATATCATAGTTCACATCAGCACTTGCAGTTCCAGTGCATTGCAGGTGCTGCCAAAAAAGTCAAACGGCTGCATTGTTTATGCATAGAACTGTACTGGAACGCGGTAAAATGTACATGTCCCTAATTAAATTGAAGGCAAGAGAGGGGAAAAAAAATAACTGGAATGCATAAAAAAAATGCACTGGAACACGTCAAAAACGCATCCAAAATGCACTGAAACACGTAACAATGCATCCAAAATGCTCTGGAGCATGCTAAACATCTGGAACACATCTAGACTGTTTCTATAGTGTGAACTGACCCTTAGGACTTGTTCACACCATTTGTGGAGCAGAAACACATGCAAGAGCACGTTTTTTCCAGCACAGCAAAGAAATATAATGCCCTCTGCAGATGTGCGCAGGTACCAAGATGAAAACATAATTGCACCTCCACACGTCTAGTAAACACAGATGCATTCACAGCCACCAAAACGCATGCCGCCACACTATTTGTGCGGTTAGGTGCAACACACTTTTAAAATAATATGCCTGCAGTATTTTTGCATGTTCCTACACGTTAGCCACCCCATTGAAATTAATGAGCTGAAAAAAAAAAAAAAAAGTAAAAAATGCCACATTCGCATAGGTCACCTGGCCTGTACAGCATGAATGAGTGGGTTGTTCATGTGGCTGGAGCCACCTGTTACACTATGGGGACACAGCAGCTGTATGAACACAGGTTTTAATCTGACAGGTGTGAAGGTTTGGGGAAGTGGCCCTGAATGCTCACTGTCTGTGTTCAGGGCTGTACACCTGCACCCATATGCTTGTCAAATTACGACCTGCAGCATTTCCATAGTGTAACATAGGTTGCCTGCAAACGGCGACAGCCACAAAAACAAACCACTGATTCCCACTCTACAGGCCACAGCACCCATGTGACTGAGCCCCAAGACTTCAATTACACACACAGCTTTATTTATGAACTCAGTACAGTTTTATTATTTAGATTTCACAGGAATTTGGTTGCGATTGTGTCCATTAATAATGTTTGTAGTGTATTTTTACCATAAGTATAAT